CCGCCCCGCCCCCCGCACGTGACGGGGGCGGGGCCCCAGCGCCAGGCGGGGCTACGGTGTCGCTGAGGCGAGGGCCGGGCCGGGGGCAGCGGGAGGGCGGCCAGACGGGATCCTTCTCCGTAGCGGTGAGCGAGCGCCCCGGCGGCGGGGAGGGGGGCGTCCCCGCCGCCTCCGGTCCGGCCTCGAGGCCTCTGCGGAGGACGTGGAGGTGCGGGCCAAGGGCTTTCCTGAGGAGCCTCCCCGTTAACGCCTGACGGCGACGGCTGAGGCGTGCCGCGCGCCCCGCGGCCGGCCGCCTGGCAGAGGGGCGAGGGTGAGCCGGGCCGGTGAGGGGAGAGCGCGGGACCTGCCGGCGCTGTGGCCTCCAACCGAGTTACCGAGGAAATCCAGCCGCGCCGCGTTGGCTTTCTTTCAGCCCTGCGAACTGGCAGCACTTCGATCGATTCTAGCGCCTCTTGCCGAGAGTATTAAAACGCATTTGGCAACCCCTGCGCAGCACGTCACGCTACGGGGCAGACACTTAAGATTGCCTTGTGGCAACTCGAAAGTCGCCTTCACTCAGGCGCTGGTAAGCGGCAGTCAGTGCAGCGATCATCGTATATGAGTACTATCTCCTAAAGCTTTGATTCTACGCACGGGCGTGTCTTTGCCTTACTGACGTGTTCATTCACATTAACAGTCCCGATGCCAAGCATTACACATTTTTTAGAAGTAAGGATACACATAACAGGTAAAATTGGAATGCAAGTACAGGCACAACCCAGGGTGGCATCATGGAAAAATTACTAAAGTTGTTCACAGCAGGTAAGACTGCTACACCTGAGCAAAGGCAGCACATCTGGACAAATCAAACTCGCCCACAGCACGCAGGCATCTGCATGGTTGACAGCTAAACACATACTAGGAGCACCTCACAGTGAATTTCACACTAGTGTTGATGAGCGTGCCCAAGCCGTGATTTCATTGAGGCAAACATCTCATTCATTCACTAAGTGCTACTGTAAGTAAGCACCTCAGAAACTAAGACTCAGTTCTGGAGCTTTAGAAAGCAGGCATTCTTTATTGTAGCACTGGATGCACGGGGGATCGTTCCGCCTATCGTGCATACCAATTCTTTCAACAGTTGAGATTATATACAAAATGGATATACATATTGATGATTTTTCTTGGAAATAATTAACATATTCATCTGAATTCCAGGATCTCATTAATATATGTAAATGTCCTTGGTGCAGGCACACTCGAGATCGAGATTGTTGCTGGTCTTCAGGCGGTCCTCTGGTGGTCTTCAATAGTCTTCCTCACTTGTCCGCTAGTTGACCCTGTTCTAGTGATTCTACACAGTGCGACACCTTACATGTTTGATACAACTTATCCTAAAGAATGTTCGTTAGTAACTCTACTATCGTATCTTTTCTTGATTTACATTCTTTTGTCGCAAACCATATTGACACTCTAAGCTAAGTTATCTGAAAAAGGCCTAAGGTTTTTATCTTCTCAGGGAATTTGCAAGGTTGGCCAGAAGTCATTTTCTCTGGTCTCTTATACATTTTGCAACATACAGGATTTCTTATACACCATTCTTATCCATTTCTTATCGTCAATATAACAAAGCCACTGTGTTCTTTTCGTAACACAAGATGTAAAACATCTTGTGTCATAAGGACTTTCAGAACTGGATGATACTACATTTTCAAGGTATGTTTGAGTAGTGAATATAAATTTCTTTGAAAAGTATAAAAACACTTTATTTGCCTTTTAATAAAATAAAGATGACCCAAATGAAAATCTTAAGACATAACATATTAGGCCAAATTCTGTAGTTTTCAGATCTCAGAAAATGTCTTCAATGCAAGAGGAAAAGGAAAGGAATAGAGTTACAAACTATAAAGAAGTAGAAATTTTCCCATACTGAAATGAGGAACTGCTAGGTTACAGTGCACATTTTCAACAGATCTCTTAGAAAATCTAAAGAAAATACAATATATTTTTCCTTTTGATTTAATGTCATTCCATACAGACCAAAGTAATTAATTCATTGCCATTAACAATGACTTCAAATAGATTTTGGATTGGCATAGAAAATACAATTTACTTTTATCACAGTTGCTGATAGTTGGTTGGCACCTTTTGGGACCGCCCAAGAATGGACTGACTTCACCCACTCATGCATTATGAATCATCGCTGCCTGCCAAATAATGGTGCAGTGGGAAACATACACTCTCCTCAGCAGGTACTCTTCAATACTTTTCTTGAGAATAGTTTGTCAGTCTCCCTCTTCATCAGCACCAAAAAAAAACCCCATGCCATGAAAACGTTATTTCATTTGACAGGACCTTTCTTTTAAGTAAGCAAAAGAGCACAAAAAACTCAGACAAATAATCATTTACTTGATGTGGAACTCTCCTCCAGCAACTCATAAGGAGGAGAAATTCTCTCTTTTGTTTAGAAAAGATTTGTTCAGTGCCTACTTGCCTAGTTAACATCTTCTCACCCAGCTTCCTATTTCAACCTTTTATTTGGGCACTGCAAAGAAAAAGAGGCTGCTTCTGCACAGCCTCTGTTAAGAGTTGAATTCATTTTGGAATCCCTGCAACATTGTGTGTTCTCAGGTGGAAGAAAGGGGTGTACAAAAAGCTAGTTAATGCTTTAAACAATTTGCTTCCTTTGTTAATGAATTTGTCTGATGAATGAGTATGTGGTATTGAGGAAGTGTGGATCACATACATGTTCATTTGCAAATGTTTGTAGATTTGGGCTTTTAGAAAGATATAAATCAAGTCTATTTAGGGAGGAATAGTTGAACCAACTTGGCAGGTGCAACATTTTAAATTAATGTTGATGATGTGAATATGCACAATTACTTACTTATAAAGTTCTGAAACAAATCTGTTAAATGCGTGATAAAAGTTTTACTGAAAACAGCTCCAAAAGGGGAATAACATGTGTTTTGAATTGTTTGTACTGCATTTAGATAAGTTACTGAGAATGGATTAGAGTACACAATAACATCCATTTCAGAAAAAAAAATCATAATCAGGATTATGTTTTCTTAACCAAGTTTTCTTTGAAAAGAGATAAAAGCTGATAATAAGTAATTTATTTCAACTACCTGAGTATTTACTAGAGGAAATATGTCCAGCAGTAACTCCTGCAGTTGCTCACACACTATTCGAACTTAAAACAAGTTACAACCATCGTCATTAACCACCGAAGGTATGTAACACATGGCATCTGATATTTTTTCAGGGACTCAAAAGTGTGTACACAAACAACACAAATATAAACGTAGAGAGATTCTGCAAAACTCTCTGAAAACAGTAACACAGACATGGTCTGCATGTGAATTGTAAAGACTAGTAATGTGGTATTTTACTGTCTTTTTTTTTTTTTTTTGCTTCTCACATTTGGCAGATGCGTGTTGTGCATTTGTGTCCTGCAAGCTTAGTCTTAGCACATCCTGTATGTCTGCCAAGACAGGTAATGATTCAGCACCAAACTTTTAGGTTTATCAGAAAGATGCAGTAAAACAGACTGATTGTAAAACACCTTGTGAGAAGATGGGCTGCTGACAGCACTAACCCTAATTCTTTATGTATATGAGAATATATCGATGAGATTTTCATACAAATACTTTAAAAAAAACTCTTCAATTTTTCACCATGTTCTTAAAATTACTTGAACTGGCAATTAAAAAATATATTAATGTACTAATATGTAATAAAATATTAATACATTAGTAATTAATTTACAAACTCACTAATGATAAAAGCATACAATGAAATATCATACATGGATGCAAAGAGTCTGAAACCTAGACAATGTAAAGCAGCATAACTCAGGTGGAGGCAGTGGAGCTGTGTTGATGTAAATGACCTCAAGACATGGACCATTATTTTGTTTAAGCTGGTTAGGGCATAAGATGGAAATTTGAAAAAACACTCTGTTGCCTTGTTGCTGTAATGAGACAGCTGTTGTCACTAATTTCTCAATAATGCATTAATTTGCAACTGCTAAACAGATGTAGCGATCACTGTGCTGATAACTAAGTGAAGGTATCTTATTTAACAAAAACTAAGCCTGTGCTGGCTGCAGTGTGTATTGAACAAATGGTAAGAGTTACGTTTTGACTGCTGCTGTGATGTTTCTTATGCACATTAGTTGTAGCTACTGTGAGGTCAGTGAAAGCTGTTAATTAGAACACATATCTGTTTTTCATCTTTTCAGTGTCCTTTTTTTTATTATTTTCTTTAGGCTAACACATTCTCCACTAGTAATCCAGGGAACTCAGTAGTTCAGAGTTTTTCTAAAGGGTTTACAAGGACCAACATTTATTTCTAAATAGGTGTTCTAGCAGTGTAAAATAAATGTGTATGCCTTTACTGTGACACAAATATTTACTGTCACCACACTCCCAAAGATGAGTATGACTGTTAATCAGGAAAAATGTAATACTAAGATAAAATTAGTCTAATAATACAAGAAAAGAAACAGCACATCTCTGAGAACTTTCCTAACCAAAGGACAAGAATTAATTTTCTACAGTGATGTGGCAGCTACAAAATCTGACATACTATTGTTGTTACACAAAAATTTTTGTAGGATATCAGTTTTCTGGTGACAGAATATAATTTGTGACTAGATCCTCTTTCTTGCTTGTGATAACAAAATTTTTTGACTCAAGGTTTAATATGTGTCACTTTAGCTGAGAATGTAAAAGTTGTGTAAATGTGACCTTTTCATATTTAGTTGATAACTGTGGATTACAAACACATACAATGAAA